AAATTACTCAGCAACAACAATAAAAGCTCGGAATTGCTGACCTGGCTGCATCCAGACTGGGGAAACCCAGCACTGGCATTGCCCCTGCAGAAGTGGACGAACAGCCAAAAATGCCTTTGAAAATACCTTGGGGTGGGAGGAGAAGAAAAAAAAAAGGGGGGGGGGATAATTAGTTTTCTCCTTCTTTGATGCTAAGATGGAACCATGTCGAATAGAAAGAGCAACCGGGTGTACCCTGAGCCTTTCTCTGGGTACATGCTGATGCCACCCATTTTGTGGCAAGGCACCCGTTTACACAAGAGGCTGCAGCACCCCAGAGCTATTTTTAATTTGGACTGCATGAAGGATGATGTCCTGTTAACTGAGCATGCAGGGAGATTGAGGGCTAGAATACCGAGGGGAAGGAAAGCTGTCAGGAGACTGCTGTTACAAATCGAGAAGTCCATGGGCAGAAAACATTGACGGAAAAGAGACAAACTGTACTGGGAACAGAAAGGAGAAGAGACGGGAAAGAGGAGGAAAAATGTGGCAGCCAGGAAAGTATGTACAACTTCTACTTCCTCAGGGAAAGACGAGATAGGTACCCCTGGCAGGGTGGCACAGAAAGAATGTGGAATAACCGAGGACATTGTCCAGAGGTCAGGCTGGAGAATGGAAAGCTGGAGAAAAGCTTCACTTCAGGCTTCGGGGACAAGAATGGCTTCATGCTGGCAACAAGCAACAGCAAGAGTGCCCTGGAGACTGTGATCCAGCCAGCCTTCCCCAACCAGCTCACCTCCAAATGTGTTAGACTACCATTCCCATCTTTCTAGGCGTGCCCATGTTAGGGAGGTCCCTGAATGGCCCTTTTAGAGCCCGAGAGGTATCCTGCACTTTCAAAAACTGTGCAAAAAAGGAAAAGTCTACGAGGTGGTTACAACAACAACATGACCTAGCAAGGCGACTCAAGAGAGAATCAGTGTCACAGATGGATCCAAATTAAGTGGCCAACTGCTGCAGTAAGCTTGATGGCTTCATCCGATTCACTGGATCCATTAAACATTAACATCAATCTTGCAAGGTAATTCACTCTATTCCCATTTTACGGGTGGAGAATAGAAATGACAAGGTAGGGTTCTCTCCAGCTATCTCAGAGGCTCAGTTCCACAATTTTCCTCTCTGTGTGACTAAAGTCCTGGGCCAAAGACTGCAGGAAAGCACCCGCTGAGGAATGGCTTGCTGTGACCTAATATTACACACTAGTCCATACCAGAGCCGCACAGAGTAGACTCACAGCAAGATGAGTGGCAAATACATAATAAATAAATGATAAATTCCTTCTAGAAAGCACACCCAAGGTAACATTTGACAACAGCAGGTATTCTGTATTTGTTATTTATATGACCCCTAAGAAAAATAAATTCTATCCAAGCTACTAGGACCCTCCATCGTTGGGGCTCTCTGCAAAGAGCTTTTCCTACCCAGGAAAGCAGGAGTTCTATTGGGCTCTCATGGATGAAGGAAACGGCTGTGCCTCTGCCAAGCTAAAAGAGCTGCAGAGCCACCGGGATCACTGTGGTGATTAACGGTGATCCTGGCTTAATATTCTGCTGCTTAAGGTATCAAAGGCTGGTCCATGTGTACCCAGCAGAAAATGAAAGAGCTATGTGAGGGCTGCTGGAGAACAGCCAAGGGAGAATGCCATGAGGAAAAAGAGAGGCTTTATTCTGGGCAGAGTTGGTTACCAAATGGGATGCCAGGGCACCTAGCTTCCTGGCCTAGTTCCTGAGGGGGAAAGCAGCTCAGATGCCTTGATGCCCCTTTATGTGGAAACAGAGGCTTTCACTGACGTCTTCAGGGCTGGGAACTGGGAGGGGGTATGTTTGCCGACAGCGGGTGTCTCTCTGGCACAAGTGCAAGCAAGTTATTAAAACTTAATTGAGCAGGATGGGAACAGGGCAGATAATTAAGCTTCCCAATAATGGGAACCATCAGATTTCAGGAGAGGAGAGTGGAATGAGAAGCAGAGCTTTGTGGCCTGGTTGAGAACAGGAATGGAGTTGGGAATTATGGTTGGGATTTATTGGGAAGGGTAATTCTCAGCAGAGGCCTAGTAGAGACTTGGAAAGGAAGGGAGCCAAGAGTTCTTGCTAGCTCAGCTGCTGACACTGGGGAAATGTTATCGCAACCAGTGGATTCTCATTAAGTTTAGACACAGCAGAGAAAGATGATTCTTTTCATTCAAACTAGTCACCACCTGTTCATGCTCCTCTCTTCTTTCTCCTCTTTGCCAGACTCCCAATGGTCCTGATCCTGAAGGATCAGCCTTCAGTCCCAACCTGGCCCACTTCCAACATACAGTGAATCAAAGCTCCATTTGCCCTGGTCCAGAGGCACAATCTACCCTTTCATGATTCAAAACTGTCAGCAAATCACTTCCATAGCCATATGGATACATTCTGATGGGAAAAAAAGAGCATACTGTATATCACAGCTTCCTTCTACCATAAAAATTTCTTCTATCCTAAAACCCTGTTGTGTTTCTGGCCAACCCATCATTGCACTGAACGACCACCCTCCCACCTCCAGACTATGGAAGAATGGAAGTGATCTTTAATGATTGCCTTAACAAATCCATCACCCAGATTTTTCAGTTTGAAGCAGCAACACCACTTCCAGTTGGTAAGATGATAAATAATTTCCTGGTCTCTGAGAAGTAGATAATTTCTTTCCTTATTTCTTTTCTTCCCTCCCTCAGGATCAAGCCAAAACATGCACAATAAATGACACTAAGTCCCCATCTAGCTTTTTTTTTTTTTGCTTTCCCCTGCTTGTTTATTTGCAACCAGTCCTAATGCCTGATTCAAGAGCAGCACTTATATTTTTTGGTCACTCTCTAGTCAAAATCTCTTTCTCTTATCCTTTGCTGATGGAGATTCATAGGCAAATGTCAAGAGGATTTAGGAAATTTGGTCAGACAGACTTGAGAACGGCTTCCGGGGAGGCTTGAAGCCTGAGAGCCCTCTTCTTGGAAATTAATGGTCAAAGGATTGTTCTGGACAACTTTTGAAAGTACTCTGAGGTATATCTGACCAGATTCTCCAAATCTCCTTGACACTTGCCTGTGGCTCTCTAGAACTCCTTCCTTTCTAACTGCCCTTTCTCTCACCCTGGGCCAACTCCATACAGCTGTTGTTAGGATAAAATGGGGGATAATTCCAGCTGTACTATCCTTGGAGAATCTTACAGGGAGAATGAGAATTAAAAATGAAACTAGGTCTCACCCAGTCTCAACACACTTTCATAAGTTCTCCCAGATGGAAGCTGATGGATTATAAAAACTGCCCAACTTTGATTCTACACTGAAGTCTTGTAGCAGCGTGATATGCTCCCAGTAACGATAAAACAAAGGAGGTACAAAAATAGATGCCAGAAATAATGATTCATTGGAATACAGGAAAGCCCTTTGTTAATAATAAACCTAGTGGCATCGCATAGCCTCAGGCCTCCTCCAGACTTTCAAAAAGCCCATGATTTCAGATTTATACCACCCTGAATCTTTCAAAGTAGTCATCCACTATTTGCTCCAACAACCCCTTTTTTGCCCTCTTTTTCTGATGATGCCTCAATTTCTCTTTGTTTCTATTGTAAATAAGCCATTGAGAGAAGGAACTTGTCTTTTGCTAATGGTAAATTATAAAGTGCTATGTATTTATATATAATACAACATCAATAACATGATTTTAATAACTTAATAATAATCTGATCTAATCTCTTAACTCTAAAAGCGATCAAACTAACCCCATCATGGAATGTGGATCCTGGAGAGCCCAGAAATGAACTGGAACTAAAGTGTTATACAGACCTCTGATGAGACACTAGATTTTTCTATTCCTGTTTTAACGTAACACATGATATCCAGTTGAATTCAGAGGAAAAAGAGGAAAACAAATCTCTGAAGGCAGCTAACATTCTGAAATGCCAGACCCCTCTCAGTCCCAACATTTAAAAATCCAACCGGCAAGTATGCATGCACGAGCGCATCCAAAATCACTTTCTGATTTTCCAGAAAGTGCATACAGTTCTAGAATGCATACATATCCCCCAATGTGGTAGTTTCAAAAGGAAGATTAGTGCTTCTGTACAGCAGCCAGAGCTATGATTACAAGTCAGTGCATTGTGTACAGAACGGTGAAATGGAGGAAATGCTATATTTGAAAGAAAAGGCTAAAGTTTTCATCCACAACAGATACAAAATGGTGCTTCTGTTTTGGGGAGAAAAGGTCCACATATTTATACATCTTTCCTAAATCTATCCATCCATCCATCCATCCTTCCTTCCTTCCTTCCTTCCTTCCTTCCTTCTTTCCTTCCTTCCTTCCTTCCTTCCTTCCTTCCTTCCTTCCTTCCTTCCTTCCTCCCTCCCTCCCTCCCTCCCTCCTTCCTTTCCTTCTTCCATTGCCCTTTTAGTTTGCAACTCACACTTATTTGATATCAATAGGCCCCATCTCCATTTCTCTTGGTTCTCATATGGGTGTCTCCTCACCTTCCCCCAAAGATAAAGACACTTTTTTTTTGACAGTATCTCCTTGAAGATAATGCCGCATTGATCTCAGAATCAATTAAAGGTGAGGGCACATGTTCTCTCTTTCATTTGGCACAGCCACCTTTTTGCCACCACTTTATACGAGTGTCTGGGGAAAAGGCTATCTGGACCCATTTGCAGATGACATAACTTCCAAACCAGTCTAGTGGTTTACCCATCTCCTAATTGCTCGGCTCTCATTTCTACTCTGGAAACTGACAAGTTCTTAATTCCCGGAGCTCATTATCTGACAATAGCCTGGTCTTAGGGTACATTAATTAACCGCGAAGCCAGAATGCCATTAGATATCAACCTGATAATCAGCTTCCAAAAGAAATGTAATTTTGGAGATTTTTTTTTTCTATTTGAGCAGAGAGAAGAATAAGATAAATAGTGTAGAGCTGAGGCCTTGGGGCCATGTCTAAAAGTGGGTAACTCACCCAAGTGTGGTCATGGTGACGATAGTGTACCAGAAGGCAGCAGGGATGCTGGTGAAGTTGGTCTCCGTTGTGCTCTTTTCAGCATAGAACATAACCGTAGCAAAGATGATGATAGCCATAGTGAGGGAGAAGAGAAGGAAGCCCAATTCAGAGGCACAGCTCTTAAGTGTATAGCCCAGGATCCTTAGGCCCTGCGAGTGGCGCGAGAACTTGAAGATGCGGAAGACGCGGAAGACTCTCAGGGTCACAAAGGCCCCAGAGACATTCTCATTTTCTGGCATCACCAGCCCAATGTAATAAGGCATGATGGCCACAACGTCAATGATACTCATCACACTCTTCATGAACTTAAATCGACTCGGGGCAGCAAAAAGCCGCATGAGATACTCAAAGGTGAAGATGAGGACACAAGCCGTGTCCATGCAGAAGAAAGCTTTGGGGAAACGATCTCCGCAGGACATGCTCCTCTTCGTCCCAGGAGGTGGCCGGCACGGGATTGTCTCCACCACGTTGGCAATGACTGAGACGGCAATGAAGAAACCAGTCACATAGTAGAAGACCAAAGCCATGGTGCTGGTGTGGGGGTTCTCAAATGCTCTCCAGAGCTGTTGGCGGAATGTGCTATCTGGCGGCAAGGAAGTGTCCGTGGCAATCTCGGCTTCTTCGTCCTCAGCTAGGCGCTCTGCATTCTCCTTCTTGCGATCTCGGTATTCCTCCAAGCAGCAGTCACCAATCAGCTCTGGGATGATTCCATAAAAGGACAGCTCTTCATCAAAGGCCTGTATGCACTCTTGGCGGGGATAATGGAGTCTGCCGGTACGATAGAAGTTGAGAATGTGCCGAAACATCTCTGGGTCACGATCAAAGAAATATTCCTTGCTGTCTTCGTCAAAAAAGAATTCCTTCTCGGAACTGCCTAATAAGGTGTCTGGATAACGGTCAAGGGTATTCTTCCACGTTTGGAAGCGTTTTCCACTAACGTTGACCACTAAGATTTCATCATGGCGGCGTTTCTGGTCCAGAGGAGGCTTGGGCATAGGCTTCTTGGCCAGTGGGAGCCAGCCCACAGCTGCTGCCCGGGCAAAGGGCAGCCAGGTTGCCACTCCTGCAGCCATATTGTATAAGCTGTATCACCATCAAACCCTCTGTGCTCAAAGACTTTTGGTAAATAGGGGCTGTCTGTTCTTCAGTTGGTTACTTTGGCTAGTGTCAACCATAAGTCACTGACTTAGAGGGTCTCAGTAGGAATGTAGCCATCCAGATTAGTTCTGTGCAAAATATCCAGGCACAACAAAGTACCGTATTTATCCCAGTAAGGATGGTGACGTTTTTTCCTCCTGTGTAAAAATATCCAAGCTGTTTTCAGTGGATGTTAACAAATCTGGATGCATTAGAAAACTTGCTGTCAAACAGCATTCCAGCTCTGTAATCAGATCAAGATACTCTACTATCAATAATTGTGGAATCAGAAAGAGATAATGCAGCTGACAGGGGTCTTCTCCATAGTTTGTGCCTGGTGACAGATTAATTTGACCATTTGGTTCTGTGCAGATTGAACATAATAGACACTCCTCTCTGGAAACCTGCAATGGATTATATTATTCTGCTGTTCTTTGTCTTTTGATCCTTTCTTCCTGTTGGCAGAGAAAATGGATGGCAGGCTACCAAGATGGGATGGGGAGGTAAGAGAAAGGGGCTGAATTGATACCTTCACCTTTAGGGAGGACACACATTGCTGTAGAAAGGGTGGGGGGGGGAGAGAGAGAGAAATAGAGAAACAGACAAACTATGAGAAAACATAACTACATGCCATTAAATTATGGCATTTGGAGTGAACGTAGCAGTTCTTAAGTTATTGCACTAGTCCTGCTTTGAAAACTAAAACCCAAAAATATTATATGAGAAATTTGGTTTAATTAGCTGCTAATCCTAAGAGGCCTTTGTTTGGGTTCCAGTCTTTTGACTGCACTTTTGAGAAGAGATACTTAGAAGCTGGCCAAGGGAATGAGACCCACAATTGCACACCATCTCTGAGGAAGGCGCCTTGAAACCAGCTCTTAGATAACTACGTAAATCCTTCTCCAGAGCTAGAATAACATCTAGGAATCTAGAGCCCAAATGACTAGAGGAGCCAACAGGACTTATTTCATATTGTAAGAGTCAAAAGGCCACTGACAAAAAAGTATGATGGCTCTTCGTAATGCTGTGTCCAATATGTGGCATGAGGAAGCTTTGTCAAAGAGTTTGGCAAAGGCAAAGGAACACTTGTCATTTCTCTGTACCTACTAGGATGTAAAAACTGCTGTTTCTCAGGGCAAACTAGCAACAGCCCCAGAGAAAGGAGGTTGGGGAGAGAAAAGGGCATTTCTCAAGAAAGGCCCGCAGGATCCAAACAAACTTTCCCATTAACTGTCTCCTTGTGCCAAGAGTCCCCACCTCTAACTGGAAGCTAGACTTGAACTACAACATGCCTACATCTTTATAAACAATTTGAATTTTAAAACAATTCCAATAAACGAAGGTGCAGGGGGAAACTGGAAGGAGGGGGATGGGAATCAAGAAAAGAACATGGCAAGACTTAAGACAGGAGGAAAAAGAACAAGGCAAGTTTGAAAATAGAAAAGACAAAAATTCAGAGGAAGGAAGGAAGGAAGGAAGGAAGGAAGGAAGGAAGGAAGGAAGGAAGGAAGGAAGGAAGGAAGGAAGGAAGGAAGGAAGGACAGACGGAAGGAAGGAAGGAAGGAAGGAAGGACAAATTTAAAGAAGGCAATGATCCCTGATGGAATGGTGGCAACTCCGAGGAGCAAAAGCATCAAATCTAAGATGCTGAAGATGCTGAAGAAACCCAATCTAACTGATATGTGGAGTTATTGGGTGGGGAGGCTAACGCAAGGCTCTTACCCCAGAGATTGTCCGAGAAGCAGGCAGTAGCCTGACCACCGCAAATCCCGGTGGGTGGTAATGGGATTCGGGTCAGGAGGTGCCGAGCCGCCCCCAGGACGCAAGCGACAAGGCTCCGGTTGCCCTCGGCGGTGCCGATCCTCATCGCTCCCCTCGGCTCGCCCGTCTGACTGTGCTGCGCTCCCACCCTCCAGGAGCCGTGTGTGTGTGTGCGCGCGTGTGTTTGTGTATCTGAGAGTGTGTGCGCGAGTGTGGGTGAGCTGCATTCGGCAGGGAGGGGGCAGAGCGAGCGGTTGGCAGCAGCGAGTGGCTGCATCGCAGGCGGCGGAGGCGCGCACCCCAGGCACAGCTCGGGCCGGCCGGGGGCCAGCAGAAGCAGGGAAGACGCAGCCTGGAAGGGGTGGTGGTGGTGGCAAGAGGCTGGAAAGACGGAGGCGGGAGGAAAGGAGTGAGGCTAATGGCCCGGAATGGAGGGAAGGATAAGAACGGGGATAGACGGAGGAGTTCAACAGGAGAATAAAGCAAAAAGATAGGATGGATACAGAGGAGAATCTGGCGTTAAGAGGGAAAAAGAAGAACGACCGGGAACAGAAAAAGAGCTTGCTAAAATAACCTAGGGGGAAAAAAAAATAACCCAGATATCTTAAGAGTGCATCAAGAGGGACCGGGATGCTCTGGTCAGAAACTAGAGATGGGCAGCTGCAGGAGACAGGAAACGGGGAAAAGGATTGGAGAAGCGCCCGATCAACAGATAGCACTTCCAAGCCACAGAAAAGCGCTTAGAGACGAAGGAGGCAGAAGCCCGGGATGGGCCAAACAGCAGGTGTGAAAGAAGTCTGGCGGACCGTCGAGATTTCTGGCAAGCAGAAAGGACGATCGGGCCCTTCCAACGCTTTGAAGAACCAGACGCCTATCCACTACCAAGGGGTCTCCATGTATCCTTCTCTTTCCTATCCTCCGCCCCCTTTTGCTTCCGCTGGTAGCCTTCTTCCCAGTCCTGCCGTTTAGACCCGGGCTTATTCCCTTTCCGGCCGCAGCTCAGAAATCTTGCACGATGCGCAGCGCTGCTGCCTTTCGTTTATGAGCCTCCATAGGAATTTCAAATTTGGTGCCATGCAGGATAAGTACAAAGGGGAGGAGGATCAGGGAAAGAGAGGGCATAATCGCTACGGGGCGGGAGGGGCGAGCTTCTCTGAATGAATCTAGGCTGCCGCTCCTCCTTCCGAGCTCGCACAGAAAAATCCCGGGCTTCTCCTCACAGCGCCCCCTCTGGAGATCACGGGGAGCGTTGCTTGCGGTAAGCAGAGCCTCTGAACCCCCCGCTCTTGTAGAGCTCACCCCAGTCTGACTGACAGTTGGGTTCATACAGCTTCCGCAAAATCGAAGAGGTGATAAGATCCCAAAGGAGAATGTTCTCCCTCTTAAGGCGAATACCCTCCAAAACAATTCCCCTTCCCCCGGGGAATGCTGGGAAAGCCTTGGTGGTTTTCTACGTCCAAATTCCTTTTCTGGTATGGGAGCAAAGGTAGTAGCAGGGCCTAAACTGGCACAAAGCAGACAGCCTACATTCCGTTAAATTCTTGATCTTGCTGAATGCTGTGAGGTGTTTTTTTTTTTTTAATTTCTCTTCATCTGAACTAATACATACAGTACTGGAGATGAACAATAAGTACAGTAACACAGAGAGGACAATGTTTTATTAAGTTAATGTTATGATTGCTGTGGTGTTTTTATGATTTCTAAGTTTTGCTGTTTTATTGATTTTTTTTTATTTTTAATTGATATATGCTTGTCTGAGTGCCTCTTGGCAGAAACAGCTACTTGCAAGTGCAATAAATCAATAATATCTCTTCATCAATCTACATCATGCAGTATAAAATAGCAAAAAAAAACAACCAACAACTCTCTGCTCAAAGAAGCATGCAGTTGCTACTTTTACCACTCCTAGTTCTTCACACTCAGTGACTAGGATGGACTCTTATTCCCCCATCACTTCTGAAACCAAGCCAACCCATCCAATATTATCATCTTCTCCTGTTTAATTCTTGGTTTTTGATAATGGCAAGCATGTGACATAAAGGGAGAATTATTGCTTCATCCACGTTAGGAAACTTTTCTATTTATTGCAGGAATTCTTAGCATGGCAACCATGGGCCACAAAATGCATTTAGAAATCTTTTTTGCATCATTACATAAAAATGTAATAATGCAAAACTGGCTTATAGCAAACCATCAGCATCATCTTTATTCTGAGAATACCTTTGGACCCTGTACAGGCCTTTAAACTTCCATAGAATTAAAATGAAGGCCAAACCATAGTTTGGAAAGTTGTCCATCTGGCAAAAAAAAATGGACAATAGGAAGAAGTAGAAGGGGAAAGTCCTGCAAAAATGTGGGGGGGGGAGAAGTAGAAGGGGCAGATGAATAGGATCTTAGAATAGCAAGTGTTTTGTAACCTATTTTGTTCCCTATGGACAAAATCAGTGGCAAACTCCCTAGCAACTCTTTTGTGACCATATTCACAACATATTCCCCATATCCCTAATTTCCCTCTGTCCCCATCCCAAGGTTAGGCTTAGCTACTCCCTTTCACCATACTCTATTTCGCACAGAATTCCCTGTCATCACAACAACACAATTGCTAGCACCCACTCTTCCCTTACCCCCATTCAAGGTGCTTGAATCTAGCTCCTTCTTGACCTGAGAAAATCCCAGCTGGCAGATGCCCATGAAGACATATGGCCTCTCCAGAAGAGGATAATAGCTTTGCTTGGACTTTGGTTTCCTTTAACAGAAAGCTAAAATGTGAATTGGCTAGAACAAGGAGTGGAAGGGAAGCCTGGTGGATTAGGCTGGACAGATAGTTCATCATGCCAGCAGAAATGTAGCAAGAACCACATTACCAACCTCAGAAGCAAAGAAATCCATTTTTAATAGCAAAGATATGGTGGAAGGACTTTGTCAGCAAAATCTGATGTGCAGAATTGTGTGTCCTGTTATCGTGTTACTGTATTCTGCTAAGGGAATACAGTATTAACAGCATTAATTAACATTGCAAATATTCTTATTATTCTTATTATGGTAGCCTGTATGTTCAACTTGCTTCACATATATTCCTCAATAGTGCTTATGCCAAATCTACAAGCTAAGTCAGTATTAGTCTTTCTCAGCTTCCTCAGAGCAAATAGAATATTTGCAGCTGAGCTGCATACAC